ATAAGTTGTTGGGAAACCGAAAGCTGGAAAGCTGAAAATTTAAGGGTGACCATTCTCAACTCTTTTAGCTAGAAGATCTTCCAGAAAACCGGTCCCGTTAACGACAAAAACCTGCGGAGAACTATGCAAACAACGCATCTTCGCACCGGCAGTCGGTGCGCTGGCCATTTATTGCTTTTTGTACCACTTAATGATACGTAAAGTCCTTGGTTGCCAGTAAAGTAAACCACATATGTCGCTGCAAAAAGATGTTTTATTAGGTTTGTACAACTTCAAAACAAAAAACAATAACAAACAGATAAATTAGCACGATTCTTAATTTTTTCTGATACAAAGGCAATCTTTCGGAAATTTACGAGTTTGAAAATTTACCAGAAACTCTTTTTAAGAAAACGAAGACCTTTTGTTCCTTCAGCCAACAAACACAAGATTTTCTCTTGTGTCCTATTTCGTTTACACATAAAAAAGGGGTTTCTCTTATGCCTCCTCACTCCCCACTGTAAGAACTTTGCTTTTACCAAAAATATCAGGATCGTCCGGACAGTCAGTTTGGGTGTTCCGTGTTAGTGATCGCACTGGGATGTTCTCACACACTTGGTATAGCGATGCCAAGAATTTGATTTATTACTATTAAAGTTGTTATTTGGTTCATTGCTATAGTAACTGTCATCCAATGCTCAGGTGGCATATGAAGTTCTTACTCTAAACTTTGCTAACCAAGCAATTAATGCAAAACGCAGACATGGTGCAGAGGCAAATAGAACAATTATCTGCAGTAAGTAAAAAGTTCGGTTTTGCAGGTATGACAGCCATCCTACAATTCTGTCGTTCATTTCGATAATAAACTGATTTGGTATATATGTGTGAACTGCTTGTAAGTAACCTTCGAAAGAAAGAGCCATCAATAGCTTTGCCACCGAGCGATTGTTGTTGGCACTTGCTACTACTCGAGCATGTTTCTCGCGTTTCTTCACTTCTCACAAAGAACGATTACGGAAAAGATTTTGACTATCATATTGAAGTTGCATTTTGTTGTTTTTTAGAAATATGCCTCCGACAAAAATTAGCCTCAACTAAATATGGTAGGAGAAAAAAACTCTGAAGATGCGATACCTGAAGAATTGATTGCTGGCGAAAAGGCTTTTGGTGAGAAAATTTGAGTGGAAAGATAGGATGGGGACCAAAGGATTGGTGATAACAAATACGGAGTAGCAATGATAGCATCAACGGCATCAGGCGAGTAAATTATCGGAGTCAGTACCAGAGGAGACAGAATTGCCGGACTGAGAACGAGGGGTGATAGAATGGCCGGTGATAAAAGGAAGGGTGATAAGATGAAAGGAACCATACAGGCCGGGGAAAGAATGACTGGACTTAGTGCGACCGGCGATAGAATCACCGGGCTCAGTGCTACCGGATTCAAAATTAATGGGCTCATCAAAGTAGGCGAAAGAATAAAAGGAAAAAATAACCAGGGACTTAACACGGCAACGCCAAATATACTCGGAGAAAATACTGAGATTGTGAGTAAAACAGGAGAGAGTATGCTGGGTCCCGAAGCAGCAGCTGGATCGAAGATGAGCGCACGAAGCACCGTGGGCGACAGTACCTGCCTCTTCTGACGAATTTTGATGGTTTTTGAATCAACCTTTGATAGGTGCCGAATATCGTCAATTAGGCGCTGATGTAACTGACTTTCGTTTAGCGACAAAAAGAATTTCAGCTGTTCTGGATCACTGAACGGTGACTCGGGTCCGTATACAGCAATAAGCTGCTTGGTTGTTAACATCGAAAATCCAGTTGTGTTCATTTCCGTAAGCTGAAAAAATCAAAAATAAGCAAATGTGATCGCTTGATATCGCCATGACCCTCAATATCTCTAACAATGTGGTCAACAAACGAAAGAGTACGGAAAAGCGGCTGAAGAAGCCGGCAAGCAATATCCGTGATAAAATCCTTCTCAAGTTTATGAGCAGCGGTATCTTTGTAGCGGGAGTGTTGCAGAAAACCTGCGAGAACTGGCAAGAGGAGAAGCCGTCAGAAAGAAAAAGATGTATACTGGTTAAAGAAATTGGAAAAGCTGTCACTTGCATAGAGAGAAACCTTAACAGCTATCTTAGGAATTCCTGCTGTTATGTTCTTCAAAGCATTCGGTACTTAAGGGGAGCAGTAAATTGCTATTAAGGGATAAAGAGAAAGTGATGAAGTAGAAAAAATGAAGGGAAGAAAAACGAAGTAAAAAACGAACTGGAAATAGGAAATGGGAGTATGGAAAAAAATGTAGTAGGTAAGAAATGTTTCGGTCCATTAAGTCATATACATTTCTAACCGTCGTATACATTAATCGTGCTGCTACAGAACGCCTATTCGTTACACTGAATTCGAACATGGAAAGTATTTTGGTGCTAAACCACGGCACTATTGCAATTTTGTAAAAAAAAAATTAGTATGACTTCATCGCATGAATCTGTCGACGTGGGCCTGGAACTTATCGGTGGCTTACGAAGTACGAGCAGGATGAAGACCGGTGTAGCGTTTCTTGAAATGACAAGAATTTCGTTTTTTTACAGTTTCGAAACTAAAGATTTACAGGTGCCAATTGTCGTAAGGCTTGCAGATATAAAGCAAACGGGGCCAATTCTGCATTTCGGACAGAGACGGAATGAAACCATTGCACTGTCAATCCTTATGCTCCAGTTCCAAAAATTGAAGCTTTGTTCTTGTGCGTATGGCATTAAAATTTATATGCTC